CAGGAGCCCAGAGGACGGGAGCAAAGAAGGTGAGGGGGTGGGGGCAGAAAGTGGAAATGAAAGCAGACAACAGAACATTGCTAGAGAGCAGGAAAGGATGTGAAAGGAGACAATTTTAGAGAAGAAATGTTTTCGGTCTCTACCCGGATTCGAACCCGGGACCTTTGAATGAGAGGCCAACACCTTAACCTCTAGGCCACGAGAGCCCCCATATGAGATTCATTATTGATTATTGATGAAGAATCGTTTTAACTTCCCTTCTGTCTGTTTTAATAGGTTCATGGTTGGTGCTGCAAACAACCTTCCAACTTCCTTCCTTGCATAGCAACATATTTTAAAAAATTTCTCTCTTTGTTTTTTATATTCTTTCAGGAGTAAGCGACTACGTCCCATTGGATGGCGCGGTCGTCATGTTCAACTTCACCACCTGGGCCACACAGGATTAAAATAATCATGGCAACAACTCGCTATCTTTTCACTCCCTGTATCGTACTAAAGCAGTCAGAGTGGTTCAATATTGGTTTGTTATTATAAGCATGTTATCCTAGAATGCTCACTGCAGATTTAACATTTATTTTTGTTTATAATTTTTAGTATTTATAAAATTTTCAGTTGAAGTAATTACGCAAACACATAGTTGTTTGGGTATTTGTTTTTGTTGTTGTTGTTTTTTGGTGGGAGTTGTTTAGCTTTTTGTTTAACTTTTAAGACTTGGTGATTTCAAACTTGAGGTTTTCCTTTCTCTGTTAGCCCTATTTAATTTACGTTTAACCCACCAGTAAATCAACAATGACCCTCATGTGAAATTAAAGTATAGCTTTCAGAAAGTGTTTGCCTTTCAGGTGTGTTTACCCGATTTCAAATGTGCGTTAGTAAGCACGTATACACTCTCTCTCTCACACACACATACACACACACAGCCACACACACATACACACACACATACACACACATATCCTCACACGCATTTGTACTAATTTCGAAGGGCGAGACAAAAAGAGGTCTATGGAGAGAGAGAGGCTAAGACAGACATAGAAAGAGAGACAGAGAGACAGAGAGACAGATAGATAGATAGATAGATAGATAGATAGATAGATAGATAGATAGATAGATAGA